AACCAGAGTAAAAGGCCCCACAGGGATGGACTTTTGGACAATGTCAAACTGCAGTCTCTGTAAAAACATCAGCTTACGTCGCGAGTCTTGGACACTCAGGGGAACTAACTCTGCCTCAAGACAAATCCTGAATACATCTAGCTGTTCTGTGGCCTGTCAACATATTTATGTATTCACAAACATAAACATCATTATCAAAATAAATTTGTCATGTTTTCTCTCATTTCAAATAATTTTTTTCTTGAGAATTCCCATGAAAACTAAAACTCATTTAATATACTAAGGTATATAATGCAATTTAACAGTTGAATTTTAATACTTTGTGTCTCAATAAGTACATTGTATTATAACTCAATAAACTATGTCTACCATTCTGCATACCTCGTCATCTCCCTGTGATGGTAGTCTAAATGAGAACTGTGACAGAATTCTCAGGGTCAGCATTCTAACCTGTCAAAAAATATAACATGTATTGAAAAATTCTTTTAAACATAGTGACAAATATCATTTGCATTTAAATAATTATGGGGGGTATCTTAAAAAAGCTCTTTTCCACTCTCTTCATTCATTTAAATAACCAATCTCGCAAATCAAACCTTTGAGAAAGGGGAGGAAAGATTCTTTTCAAGAACTGGGTAAACTTGTAACAAAGTCTCCTCAGATGTGATACTGGTGCTGTCATCTAGTGAGGCTTGTGTGAAGTATAGGTCAAATAACTCTAGGACTGTCACATGATCAGGAAATTGCCTGTAAACAAAGACAGAATTGTCAATAGTTAACTAAAATATTCTTCAGCTTTTTTTTTTTACAAAGGGGGGGGGGGGTACAGATTCTGTATTTTACTCTTCATAAAGGTAAATACAGTGGACCCTCATTTATCCGGACGCTTTGGTTCCCAGTCAATTTGTCCGGATAAGTGAAGCATCCGGATATCTGAATCACCAGTTAAACAAGACAAAATAACATTTAAAAATTTTGTTCCGATGAAAAATCGTCCGGATACTGAAGCATCCGGATATCTGGCGTCCGGATATCTGAAGGTCCACTGTAGAAATAAAAGTTTGATTTTTTTAAACACAAAAATCAGATATTGATTTGGTAAAATGCATGAGATACTCAAGGCATTAACATTTAAGCTGATTTCAATACTTCATAATAAAAACATGCTCAAGCTTATTTAAGCAATCATTCTTCTTTCTTTTTTTTACCTCATAAGAGAAAGGACATCTGTCAATGAAATGCAGCTAAACATTTCTCCATCATCTTGTATATAAAGCAAAGCCAGAATGCAGTGGTACATGATGTTTAAAACTTCATCTTCATGAAAAAGAAAAAAAAATTGGAAATAATTTTTTTACATCAACTCTGTATATTCTTAATTTCTACTTATTGTCCTAAATTTCATTTCATATCAAGTAAGTGGTTTACTTCTTCTTTTGACATGAATTTAGAAATATAAATTGGAGTTTAATCAGAAATACACAAAATACTGAAATCACCTGTTGGAATCTGAGCGTCATCTGATAAGATGTTCTTCAAACAGTTTTTGAATAATGCTGTTACTCTCTTGATGGTCTCTTCCTTGTCAAGTATGGGTCTGAAAAATGGAAAACAATGGTGCATGTTTAAGATGTCTGATACTTTACTAAGATCATGCCTACTGTAAATCACTTTTTATTTGCGAGAACTTAATTTTCACCCAATTATGCATGGTGAGACAGTGTGCTTGTGAAAATACAAATCTTGTATATACATATATACAGTATAATTTGTCCAATCCGGCTACCGCCGGTTCCATAAAATTTGGCCGGATTAAACAGAATCCGGAGTGCAGGAAAAATGCAGGAAAATATCAATTTCGAAAATTTTCGTTGTTTATTTACAAGTACATCATATACATATCATAAATAAAATTAAATGATGAAATCAATTACTATTTTGGAGTCTAAAAATTATAAAATAGTCTCACATGATTGACTATATTTTTTCTTATTTGTTCACGAAGTTTGAAAGTCGGGTGAAATGTTTCCTCAATCAAAATATATAGGCACGCACAATATAGGCCTACTAAGTATCAAGCGGACCGGGTTTCGCTTGTCAAAGACCTCATTCAATGTATTGACAGTAATGCACAATTATTTACGATTTCCTAATTATTGTCATCTCCCTCGGGAGATGACACATTAAGATTGTATGCCGGAAGTGAAGTCCTAGTGTAAGCCTCCATTAATCTTTTAGGAGTCCTCGATGTTTTACAGAGTTCCAAGTAGCCTGTAAACTGGGTTTCTTTTAGAAGAACTAGCTTAGGAGTGTGTGATCTACTTTCGGTTTAGGCCTATTTGAAAGTCAAGGAAAATTTAGAAAAGAAGTACGATGCTTATAATATCTATAGTTTCGGTGTGTCGTATATATATATTGATCCTCAATACTATGCCTTATTAAATGGGTAAGCCACACAAGGAGAATTGACAATGACGTGATTTCTATATATAGATTTGTTGACGGGAAGGGAAAACTGGTTCTCGCACAAAAGAACAAGCTTACAATTAGATTCTGCAAAAAAGAAATGAAGAGTGGTCAACGCTAATTTTATGTTAATTTTTTAGTCTGTAATTGGATTTATTAAATTAATTCCTGTCAAACTTTAATGATTAGCTGCTTTTAAATGAATGATAATTATTGTTGATAATTCCGTATTGTGTTAAGAAAATATAGTTCAAGGAAAGTATGTGAATTTAAGTAAATTGTAAACACCCAGAACCACAAAGACCGCTAGAATGAAATTTCACCAAAAATCGCCTTGGGTGCTCTCACAGACGTCCATGCTTTCCATATATATACTGCGGTCAAAAGAAACTGCGTACTTTACTGTGGAGTTTGCTGAATAAGTCATTTGGGAACTTCAGGTGTAATAATCCATATATTCATTGCATTAAAATATCTCCCTTTCTGTTTTATTTCTTTGACATTATTGATACCAAAGAGATGACATTTCAGGCTTTCTGGAAAGCCAAACTTGTTATATTGAACTTTTAATTTTATGTAAAAATTTACGTCTTCCCCGACAGTGTCATGGCGCCATTTTGAATGCGTTCGATTTTCGATCCCGATTTATATTTTGATTTGTAAATCGCGTTCATATATTTTTGAGTTTATGTTATAATGTGGTAAAAGGAGTTAAAACAAAGTTAATTTTTTTTAATTGTAATTTAATCATATAATATATTTTTCAAGTGGACTGTGTCACCGCCGCATTTCACCGAGTTCGTCTAATGGCAGTAATAATCATGCTAATGTAAACACAGATTATCACATTCCCCACGAAAGGTGTTAATTGCTTTGAAATAACTCAGGTGTGGCCGGATTAGAGGGAATAATTACCGTTAATTATGAGCAGTAGGGACCAGTATGGCCGTTCGGAATACAGAATAGACAGTATCCGGACTACACAGAATTTTTTAAAATGAATTTGTTAAAGAAGTGCATGGGACTAAAATTTACGGACGGAATGGACAAAAGTCCGGAGTACTCAGAGTCCGGATTAGACAAATTTTACTGTATCAGTAATCCTTCAGACTACATGTATATAGAGTAGTAACCACAATTCATGAAAATTTTGTCTAGCTTATAAAGAGTTAATGTCTACCCAACAAAAATAAGGTTTTGCATAAATTAAGTGACCTACATTATCTAATTTTGAATAGAAATTTGGCAATTTTACAGACCAAAAAATGACAATGAAGTTTCCAAATAACATTACTGTAAATAAAAGATGAAAAAAAACACATGTGATGTTTATCGTAAGGGAAGTCTTTTTACATAAAGAATTGAATCTATCAATTTACCTGACATGGGGCAGTAGTTTTAATGCAGACCAGACTTCAGGTAAATATGTACCACTCAGTGCATTATCGTTGGAGTTGTTCGTCAACACAGTCAAGATGTGATAAGGAAGTCCTGTCCTGCAACAGAGCATAAACATTGTGTAAACATTCCTAACAATCTGACAAAAACTTTAACTATATTTTATTTTCAAAGAAATTTATTGATACTAATTATAAGAGTAATGGAAGTTATTTAATCATTTTTTTTCTAATAAAAAGATATAACTGTAGATTCCTTATTTTTCGCGAGAACTTTTTATCGCGAATGGGCTCTTCAATGGAAAATCACGAGAACAATAATTTGCGAATGGCCGGTTGATCAATAAATAGATTTCAGCACCATAACAATAAAGGCGAGTTATTTTATTTCGCGTGTGGTGCTTTCCGCAAAATTACAAAATAATTAATTCCATGCGTATATATAGGAATCTACAGTATAATTTTATTCGCTGACATAAATTATTTACTTTCCAGTGACCCCAAAGTCTAGCATGTAAGCCTGCAGTTGATCCAGCTGACTGCCATCAGAAGGGGGTGGGGCTTTGTGATGAATGACGTCTGTCAGAAGATGTATTGTCTGTTTCTGTGAGGAGGCGTCATTTCCACACATCACTTGATGAAAGTATGGTAGCAGGGAGGGCAAAACATCCTGATAAAATAACAATCCATTTATCTTCGCTTATTTTTTAATATACATGTATATAAATTGTTGAACTTTTTTGAAAGGGGAGGATTTCTGTGAAACCATTTTGCATAGCACAGAACAGTTAAATGATATTAATTAAAATGTAAAACATATCCATGCTTGTTTAAAAGTACTGTAATGATAATCTCATTTTCAATAGGTCCTAACAGAATTGAGTTCTTGAAAAAAAAAATTCAAAATACCTTCTCAAATAATGGGAGATCAAGGACAGCCCTAGTGAAAGAATACACATGGCTCTCAGAGTATTTTGTCTTGTACACCTGCAAAACAATTTTTTTTTAATGTAGTTCAAGACACCAAGCTTGTAAAATTACAATAACCAATATATCTTACCTCTACAGTATTTTACAGAGCTAAAATGAATCATTGTTAGGCAACCATTTGTAGAAATTTTCCACTACAAGAAACTTATCATGTTCAGATATTACTCTTTCAACACAGTTTTCCCCTTTGACTTACACTGGAGACTAGTTTGACCGTGCTTTCTACAGGTAAGACTGCAGTACAGGTAACAATAAGACTAGTGACCACCTCCAGCAGCTGTCCCCCAGCATCCTCTGGTAAGGTTTCCCCCCTCAGTAACGTCAGCAGGCACTGAAAGTTAATTTATAAGAGAATGATTTGAGTTATCTCTCTTGAGTAAGGTCACTCAACAAAAGTTTTTTGTTAGAAATTGCTTAATTTAAATTAAATTATCTCCCCTCAGTAAGGTCAAAACTCAACAACTCAACAACTCAACTTAAAATGCTTTGTGGTAGCTATAAATGAAATGTACAAGACTTTGAATTAGTGTGAATCTCTCCAAAATGCACAAACATGAAGATGTTGCCATCAAAACAACACACAATATTTCTCTATATATAAATTACATGCTTGAAAAAATTACTTCTAGACAATTTATATTTTGAATGAGTTATAATACCTGTGCCACACTGTCTGGTTCTGCTACAATCTTTCCTTTCCTGTGGTTTATCCATAAATTCATCAAACGCAAAAGTCGCAGCAGATGAGTGGAGATCTTGGGTTTGTTTTTCTTAGCAGCTTTTGTTAAATTCTGATAAACACTGTCAACTGAGGACTGAAAAAGTAAGAATACACATGTTACTTTGCATATAATCAAACAAAAAGAACCAATGCAAAGTGTAATCAACATAATTTATCAAACTTAACAAAAACAAAATGAGTGCAGCATCCTTCTGTTCAATGTCGTCTGCTGATCAAAGGGAGATAACTCAAAGAATTTACTTGACTTCCGGTAAGGGTTGTCTCTCTTTCAACATCTTAGAAACTTACAATTAATATTTTCCAGATATCAGAACAATTTTTCTTGTCAGTGTGTTTTGCCATTGACACAAACATTTCAGTGACTGCACTTTCCACAAGGTCCCAGGGTAACTGTTCATATCTACCATCCTGACATTCACCAAGCTTACTAAGCACAATGGGAAATGTCTGTAAAAAAGAATGTGGTAAACATTGAAAACATACCAAAATTTCATTTTATAACAAAATAAATAAATTCATAAATTCTTTTAAGAAAAAGGTTTAATTTATATGCCTTTTATCAAGTAATTGTTTCAAAAAGTTTTACAGAGATAAAAATTTCATATTTATTTAAAAAAATACAGATTGAAATCTATAATTATAAGTATCAATTTAGACTAAAGGAAACAAATAAATTTAGGCTATAAAAAAATATTATCTTGGTTCTCAGGCCCTCCCTCATCTCTTTTAAGAGTGCCTCATTGACCCTTTTTATTGCTAAATCACCTCCCTCATCATTTTCTTAGGTTTTGTACAATGTAAAAAGCTGCCTCATCAGTTTTGGGGGCAATAAAAAGTGAAAAAAAAATGCCTCCCTCCCTCATCATATTTCTTGAAAAAAGACCTGAGAACCAAGGAATTAATTTTACATGGCCTTATGAAATTTTAATAAAAAAAGATCAAATTTAAGATGACATTCATCAAAAGGTAACAAACACAGATCAACAAACCTTTTGTGTACAGCTGTGGAACTGCTTCTGAACACCTTTAACCATCTCAAATAACAGGCGACCCACTCCTTCAGCTGTCTGTTAAAAAAAAAATGAAATTAAGGCCAAAAAAAACTAATTTCTTGGTTCTCAGGCCCTCCCTCATCTCTTCCAAGGGCACCTCATTGACCCTTTTTATTGCTAAATCAATAAAATAAAAACAACAAATCACCTCCCTCATCATTTTTTGAGGTTTTGTACAATGTAAAAAGCTGCCTCATCATGTTTTGGGGGCAATAAAAATTAAATAAAAAAAAAAAAATGCCTCCCTCCCTCATCATATTTCTTGAAAAAAGGCCCGAGAACCAAGGAATTAATTTTGCATGGCCTAAGCTTTCTCTTTTTTACTCTGAGAACTTTTCTAGACTTTATAAATTACACTCTGTTATATTTTCAAACAATTTTTTAATTAATTTAGACTTGAATGTGGAATTTATAGTTGGAGCAAGCATTGTGATCCACATTACATTTCCAAATTCAATCTTACCTCAGGAGCCTCCACTAAAGTAAGGAACAAGAAATCAAACAACTCTCCATGGTTTTTCACCTATAAATAGATTAAAAGTCAATTATTTTACATTTTCATACAAGTTCTTATTAACAGTATTTTAAAAATATGTTTCATTATTTCCTGAATTTTTATCATCTTTTAATTAATTGGTTTCTTAACACTTTTAAAATACCTTTCTCATCAAAAAAGCAAAACTCTCTGCAGCAAAGTTCACAATATATTCTCTGTTGTTCTTTCTTAAAAGTGTAGAAAAATACCTGGAAAGTCAAAACAACAAATACTGAATAAACATCATACCATGCCATTTCTAAAATTTAAAACATTCAAAGCCAAATCTTACCCCCACCCACACACCCCTCCCCCTACTTACTGGTACACATCCTGAATGTCTCTAACTAAGTAACGCCAGAGGAACTTGAAGATGTAAGATAAGGCTGAGAAAATGCTTTCCAGAATTTCTTGGTTCTGGCCATTTTTGCCGAGGAGACCAACCAGCAAGTCAAAAAAATCATGGAAATAGCAGTAGAAGTCTGTCTGAAGATCCCGGGCCAGCTGCACCAGTAAACTAAGAGAAACCAATAATTTTTTTCTTTTTTTGTGGAAGAAAATGAGTTTTATGTGTTATCCAATGTTTCAAAATTTTTTCATGCATGAAATTAGACAAATTTCAAAATTTACTTCAGAAGTGGTCCGATTGCCAAGCTTTCAGGAATTTCCAAGTGTTTCTTCAAAGCTGCAATGATTTCTTCCTGTAAATTACAAAACGGAGGGAAAAATATAATTTATATGCACTATACCTATTGCAGAGTATGAAAGATCAAAAATAAGGAAATAGTGTTACCGTATTTCGGGGAGTACAATACGCACTTTTTTCATAAAATAAATTTCTGTGAGAAAGGGATGCATATTTTACATCACAATGGGATTTTGACAAGTTTTTCTTTCAGGTGAAACACGGCTATCATACGTACATACCGTAGTATAACTTAGAGACATATGCAATTTCTATTGTTAATTGCCATATTTTAAACTTCGAAAAGTTATTGTTGGAAGGTATGCTTCTTAAAAATGTCACTTTCATAATATTTTGATACCAAAATAACATGAAAAAGTAAGTTAAAAGTAATTTGAGCTGCATGTTGATTGTCTCCGAGGAGGCCGCCATTACCGATGTTATTTTTAGAAGTTCACTCATGGCTATGTCACGTGCTTCCGTAATGATAGTGCACATGCACCTTATCTGCCAGACAAAAGTAATAAATCATTTTTTAATGAAATACAATAAAATAAATATTAATTTTAGGTTTAAAATAACTCAATGATAATCTGCAACAATATTAACACCCCTCCATACGTCCCAATGAAAGGAAGCCAATGTTGTGACACACGTGCGCTGGTCAAATGATAATTACCTATCAACACCCCTCGGGGCAATTAATTATTTACCGACTCCAAAGCAATCTAGCAATGTTTTTACAGTTAGAGCACTGGTTGTTTACTGCCATGTTAATTGCTTTGATTATTTTCTTGTTAAAAATTGGGGGTCGGTTTATGACCATTCGTATGTGTGAGCATGTGTTGATTACGGCACTTTAAACAATTAAACACTTGTTAAATGTAATTTTACCTTATCTTATACTTATCGGCCTCTTGTTTAAATAATTGAGAGTTGAGAAATGAAATATAAATTATGCTAAAACTTTTAATAAAAGTGGTATCATTTAGAAAATAAGATATCCGCGAAGATTCAGAAGAGGAAAATCGTAGTCTTCTTAAAGAAATAAATACTTTGATGTTTCAATTTCGTTTCCTGTTAAAATATTGTACGATAATTTAAAGCATGATTATCTAGAACCAAAATTAAACATGACAACTGATAAAACTTTTGACAATATCTCTTGCTTTGTTGAAATAAAATTATTTCATCTAAGAATATGGCGATGCATAATTTCAAAATCACCGTAACTATTCTTTAAAAAAATCTGTTAATACTTTTACGCAACATTATCTTGTGCTTTGTTGAAATTAATAAATGAATAAATAATTTTCTCCAGATTGCCGCGATATGGAATGTCAGGATTAAGAGAAAGTTATAAAGTGTGTATTTTAAAAAAAGTGTGTTCAGTAAATTTTTGACACTTAATCCTCGCGCCGATTTTCGTAACAAATTACCGCGATTTTCAAAGTTCAGAACATCGCTTGGTAAATTTTTCGGTTGCCTATAATACATCCGAACTGTGTTTTTTTCCTCAGTTTCAGACTCAAAAAGGGGGTTGCGTATTTTACATCAATGCGTATTATACTCGGCCAAATACGGTAAATTATAAACTTTATAAATGTTCTAAAAATGTGTTCACTTAGTGCATTCAATTTTCATAACATTAAAAATATTCATAAATAGTATATGCAGAGGGAAGTATTAAATAAGGTTTTTACTTCTACATCTTGATATTTAACTTACACTGTAACTGTTACATATAGAGTTTATACCTTGTGATGTACTAGTTGTGCAAATGTCTGCACTTGGTCACTTATCTCCTTTCTAAAGTTTGCTACAACATACAGAAATGTATATAAATAAATCACTGGTTTTTATTAATATAAGTTAGACACTGCATGATGGAAAAAATGCCTGAAGCTTCAATATGCAGAAATACATGTATACAGAAATAAATCACAAGTTTTTTATTCATAAAAAGACATGTATTATAATAGGATATAACAGAATGGAAAAGATGAAATGCATACCAAAATGCTCTGTGCAGTTCAACTCTGACCATTTTTGTAATGCTTCACAGAAATAAGTGGATGTTTCCTGAAGTGAAAAAAAAAAACTCTTAACAAAGAATTAATAAACATCACTCTGATTAAGATTATTCATATATATTTATACTCTTAAGAATATCAGACTTAATATGTAAATGAGGTTGTTCCAAGTGTTTTCTACCAAACCAAACAAAATTTTTTAAAAAGAAATAATAGCCTAGTTGATTTTTTTTTAAGAAAAGTTAAAAGCTATGGCTATATGACATCTAATACATAAAACTTACATCTGGAGTGTCGTCGTGATGCCTTATCTTGTGGATGACATCAATGTTTACACTGGCTATTCGTTCAGTAAATGTCTGAAACTAAAGTGAAAAATAAATAAAATATCAGTTATTAATCTTTTATATGAAAAACTTTAAAATATATATATAATTTCAGGAATACGTGAAAACTGCAAGAGAACGGGCACAAGAAATTGTCCTAGTTGACTGGCCAATAAAATGGGAAAAGGAAAAGATTCAAGTCTCACTCATGTACAATAATAGCAAGCACAGCAAGTGCACGAAGTGACGCTCGTAACTGCGAGCTCTAACGACAATGCCTCGACGAAAAGAAAAGTTGGACTACTGCACAGTTATATGTACCCACAATGCATCGTTTCATAGAGCTACCTTCTTGTTAGAAAAACAAAAGTTCATCAAAATATAAAAACTTGTCTTGATTTAATGGCTATATTGCAGATAAATAGTAAATAGAAGTTTTTCAATAAAGTCAGCACTGTTCAGGCTGCCGCTTTGTTCTGGTAATATACAACTTTACAGTCTAGTCGCACCAAATGTCACCTGCTGTTTGACGAACCCAATCCAAATCAAAAATGAATAAGCATCTGTGTTTGCCCCAACGGTCGCACCAACCATCAACATGTTCATAAGGACTAACATAATTGCATAACTGTCCAAGACACAAATTTACAAAAAAAGGATTAGAAATATTAAAGGAATTTGTCCTCGAACGAAATCATCTAATCCCTCTGCATTCACAAGTCTGCCCCTAAGGCCTTTGGTAAAAATTTCAGGTCTGGTGGCCTTAAATTTTAGACAAGCTCAATTTTGATCTCAGTCTCACTTATCCACTATTGAATTGATTCCTTTGGTAAAACTGAGAAAGTGGTCTGGTCTACAGTAGGTCTACACGTTCGGTGTAAAAATATTGCTACTTCGTACTTAAAATTGACACTATCCTATAAAAAATAGTAAGTACCCTGAACGTATTCTCTGCTTTCGATTTTCCCATCTTTATTTCTTCACTTGTGATGAATAACACAACGATCGGTGTGAAATCACGTTGATTCTTCTCTGGAAGCTGCCATTTTCTTTGAACAGCGCCCTCTGGTTTGCCTCCGATCCCGATTTCAAATACATGTGTTTTCACTTAATTTTTTCTTTGTTGTGTCTCTCTGTCTCTCTAAGTTAAATATCAAATATTGTTATTGAAATATCCTTTTATTCTTTTAAAAATATATATCATTTTGTTTTTTTATGTATATAAAAAATAAATAAGATCGGGTACGACATTTAGAAATTCTCACAGCGCCATCTGGAAAGGCGAAAAGAGGAGAGTTTTAGTTGTGAAACTGAAAGATTCTACAGGGTAAGCTCTATTTTGAACAAATTAACATTGTGTTGGACAAAGTATGAATTATTTTACGACACGTAACGTATTGAAATGAATCTTGGTTGTTTAACAAACAGGAATTCGTAATGACCACTCACCATCTTAGATCTATCAATGATAGTATCACAAACAAACAAGCATAAAATGTACAACAGTACAAATATTGCGGTCAGGCTAATTTCAGCGAGATGTCTTAGGGACTAACCATTTTGTCTGATGTCCCTACGGTATATCAGCTAAGTGTCACACTAAACTGACTTGGGCTTACTTTTCTTGCCACGACTTCGACCGCTTGTTTCAATCAATGCAGGCTTTTTCTTTTGGACATCCTTCATACTATTGCTCATTCTTATAGGAAGTAGTAGTAGAACAAAGTATTCGAAGCAAACTATTGCTCGAACTCTTCAGCATCAGAGGTTTAAAAGAATGGGATATTTCTATGAAGAATTTTTTGAAGACATTTAAAGACATTTTGTTGAATTTAAACCTTATAAAGGTAAGAAAAAAAGTTTTATAGTAACAGAGACTTAAAAGGATGTCCAAAGGAAAAAGTTGAATTGGGCAGCAAATTCATTTCAGTCCGTATTGATTGAAACAAGCAGTCAAAGTCGGACAAGAAAACCCTAGTCAATATGATGAGTGTGTGTGACACTGGGCTGAGTTGTTCTGGAGACACCAGAACAAAATTTTTAGTCTCTATGATATCTTGCTTAGAATACAGTCAGACACCAAGGGTTCGATCCACATAGCTCAGTTGGTAAAGCACCTGACTAGGAAATATAAGGAACTCAGGGCTCGAATCCCATCTGGTCCATTTTTTCTCTCCCTACATTTGATGCCATTTAATGCTCTGTGATTGACATGTTTAAGAGCCAGGATTGGTGACTTTTGGGCTGAAGACCTTTTTTGGAGGTAGGAATGTTGTAGTCATGTGGCTTCAGTCACTGGTAGCCATATTTACATGTACCTCAATAGAGCACCTGACGAGAATATTTAAGGGGCCCGGCCTGGGTTCCAATTCTGGTCTGGTTTATAGCATTTTTCCCCTCTCCAGTTACACAATTATTTAAATAACAGACAAGTATGATTAATATCTGTGATCATGCAGACAGGGTTGTATCATTTAATCAGGTTTTTCAATTTTAATCTCTTTTCTAAGATCATTTCTTATGTATATGAAGAAGGGTATTTTTAGTTGTTGCTTTTTATCTAATTTTATTCATACTGAGTCACTGACATCAATAAAATATTGTCTAAGTAAAATAGTGATATTGTAATGTTATACAATTTTATATACCCTATTGAAATTTCATGTATTCCTTTCACAGTCATGGCCAGCAACAAGGATATACTATTGTCAGAGCTTGAGCAGGTGAAACAGAAAGCTCCCCACATAGAGGGCGTGACCTTAGAGGCCTGTCTTCCAGAGATAGTCAGAGTTCACATCTAGTAAGTACATGTGTACTGTATACTGTAAATTCCTAGTTATATGCGTGGAATTAATTATCGCGTAATTTCGCTTGAAGTACCACATGCTAAATAAAATTATTCACCTTTATTTTTATGCTGCTGAAATCTATGTAAAATCTCCTGATCAAACGTCCATTCACAAATTATTTTTCTCACAGTGTGACTTTGAAGAGCCCATTTGCGATAAAAAGTACTCACGAAAAATTAGAAATCTACCGTAACCAGCTTTTGAATTAGCTTAAATTTACATTTAAACTTTTTTCAGTAAAAATATGGTTTCTTGAAGTCAATTTACCTGGATTAATGGAGTAATTTGTATATTGCTACATAGAGTGTTGCAATTTCATGGAAGATTTTGTTATGGTTAAATATTTTCTGTGATTAAATAGTGTGGATGACATGAGACAGATGACAGCAGTGATGCAGTTCCTGGAAACCTACCCCACAGAACCTATAGTGGTGGAACTAAAGAGCAAGACTCTGACCGAAAAACTACTGGACGGGGTCGTCAAGATCTGTGATGCTGAGGCGCGCAAATATATAGGTCAAAAACAGGTCAGAGGCACACAGATATATGTAGGTCAAAAATAGGTTAGAGGAGCACAAAGATATAGGTCAAAAACAGGTTAGAGGCACATAAATATGTAGGTCAAAAACAGGTTAGATGCACATAGATATATAGGTTAAAAACAGGTTAGAAGCAGGCAAATATAGCTCAAAAACTGGTTAGAGGCAGGCAAATATATAGATCAAAACAGGTTAGATGCACACAGATATATAGGTTATGACAGATTAGCGGAGGTTTAATACCGTGCAAGTGTGAAATATATTAGTATGTTAAAGATTCTAAGATAAAATGGACAACGGATAAAAAAAATTCGTCTAACCTCTTAAATCGCACCATTGCTTTATTGTTTCATTATTAAACAAGTTATGCTGGAACATGTAATACATTCATTGTCATATATAATTGGGTATCTAACAATATTTTAATTTTGCAATTCTTTTACCAGATTATCCTGATGATAAACTTTTTAAAGCAGTTCTTAATAGACAATCCTTTGTGTATCGTTAATGATGAGGTGGGGAAAGTGAAGAAAGAACTGCTATCGGATGAAGACAGATGTAAACTGATGCAGTCTACTTCACAGATAGTGTTAAAGATTAAGGAAGAGGAGTACTATATGAGCTATAAAATCTCAGTCCCCCCTGACTATCCTGCCAAACAAGTCCAGTAAGTGGGTTTAGTGCTGAAAAGAGTTATTCCCCTTAAATTGTCAAAAAACATTCTTTTTTATATTTGATATTTGGAATTTTTTTTCAATGTATTGAATATTTATTAATACCTTTTCTAATAATTATCAAGAGGGAAATGTTTCATTTTGTGATATATTATTTTATGTATGTGAAGTTTTGAAAAGAAGTGCCAGGGACAGATGAATTTCCTTTGTTAGAAGCATGATTTGCTATATCCATCAAGTTTACAATATATTATAAATTCAAGGGAATGAAAATCACTTCGATGTAAGTGTCAATTTGTTATAAGTGTGTTATCTATAACTGTGTTTTATTGTATTGTACTTTCAGAATAGAAATGTCTGAGAACAACTTTCCTGATATACTTAAGACTAACTTTGTTGGACAGGCAGTAGAAATAGCCAGACAGTGTGTACAACCTCCCCTAAAGAAGAAACCAAAGTAAGAACAATGTTTGCAATGCCTATTTTAATTAGGAATCATTTTTAATAGAAGGTGAATATTAATTTATCTTCATATATAATGGCCACAGGCACTTGTTTCTGTAATAAATTTTTGACCCATAGTATAATAATAACACAAGGTATCTAACTCTGATTTACACCGAGTACCCCTTTCCCTTGAAAGCGCTGTTTTTACACTTTATAGGAAATGTACGGGTAAACTGTTTATACCTATGTCTTCTACGATAATTTATATACACAATCATATCTGACATGCTTGTCTTTATTTTCTTTTATCTCCGTAATCAGCTTCAAAACTCTGCTCGCAGAGTGAAAAGTGAAACTCAACCATAGAATAGTATGTTCTAGTCTCAGGCAAAGAATTAGACCTCAAATTTGATTGGCATAAATCTGTTCCTAAAATTACAACGGAAAAACATCGTAGTGTTTTTATGGAAAATAAGACACTATGAAGTTTTATTTATTCAATGCAATATTTAAAATCTGGAATTGAATTTTTAAACCCATGCATTCTTTAATTTTTCTCTTTGCCCGAGATTAGCACATACCGTTTTATGGTTTAGTTTGACTTTTCCACTCGGCAAGTAGAGTTTTGACGCTGTTTACAGAGATTAAAGAAAACAGAGACAAGCAAGTCATATATGGTTGTGTAGATAAATTATTGTAGATGACGTAGGTATAAAAAGTTTTCCACTGCCTTTTCTCTGAAAGTGTAAATGAGCACAATGCTAAGGGAGGGGGTACTCCGTGTAATTTGGAGTTAGATACCTTGTGTTATTATTATACTGTGGGTCAAATTTATTCCCAAAACAAGTGCCTGTGATAATGACAGGTTTTCATTCTATTTCAAAAGTGAAAATATAAGTTTAGGTAATGTTTAGGGAAAGGATTGTTTTTAATATATGCATATTTTTAAAATAATTACTTGCTTAATAAGACAAATGATCTGTCCTAGTTAATTATCATAAATTATCTGAAATTTTGTTGCATGCACTCTTTCGAGTTGCTGCTATTTCTAATGAATTTCTTGTCAATGAATGCTTTATTTTATTTTCATTAAGAGACCCTCCCTTTGAACCTAAACCCTCACTGTATCCTGTTTGTGAACATCTGATACAACAGTGTGTCAAAAGATACGCAAAAGAAAACTGTCCATTGTGTAATGATAGAATTCTGCCTCGAAATCCAGAGGTAAGGACTCTTGAATTTTGAAAACTCAAATTTTTTTCCCAATTGTGTTTCCTTCCCAAATTGTGATTGGGTGTGTTTACTTCTTTGCTTCAGTGTTTAAGCACAGGTTGGCCAGTCTTGACATTAATGAGTACATGTATACCTATTATTCAATGTCATTTGTTAAATTAAATTTAAAGAAGGAGCAATCTCCTCTGAGAGTATGAGATTTCCTGAACATTTTCTCAAAAAGGAATACTTGAGTAGAAGGAAAAAAAATACATGTAGTTAGTATGTTAAGAGAGAGAGTTGTCTTCTTTTGATTCAGATGTATTGAGTAGAATTAAATTGATTTTTTTCCCACTTTCAGGAATTAGGAAGATTAGACAAAAAGAAGAGGATAGAAAGAGTGTATTGTGGACATTTATTTCATTATTTCTGTTTATATAAATTCATGAAGACACCTCCTTTTGCAGGTAGGTTTAATATGGTTATTTAGAACTTCAGTTGCTTAAAGGATGCAGTGAAAGATTTATCAAATGGAAGGAATTCAAAATACATATTAAATCAGTAAAAAAAATAAATAAAACTCAGAAATCAATTAAACTGTATCTTTGAAAAAAGCGTGCATGTTTTGATGTTAACAGCAGAGAGCTGATAAGTGTTTGGGTATTTGTGAAAACTGAAAATTCTTTTTAATTTTTCAACATGAGTTTGTCATGAAATACTTTACTTTCTTTTAAGCTGGAAAATTTTGTCCATCCTGTGGTAAACAGATTTTCCATGAGAAGTTCAAAGTTTCAGCGGAACTGGCTGAGGCACGTTGGGCACACAAGCAAGCAAGGCAGCGGGAATTAGCAGAAGTAGTGGACTTCTTAGAATGAAATTTATAGACTTTAGGCAATATTTAAAGAATTAATTGTGATATTTTTTTTAATTAGGTCAATGTGTACATTTAAATGGTTTATATGTATAGTGAGCTTGTATTTAAAATGCAAGTTTAGTATATTTTAAGTAATGCATTTATAGTTTTCAAAGCAGTGAAAGTGGTTATTGAATGGTTCTTTTTCATGATTCCTTTAAAATATTTTTGCTACTAGAAAGAAATGAGAAATTATTTTGTCTGTTATACATAAAAAAAGGATCTGGCTTCATATTTCTGGATATACTTTCTAAATATTATATTAAAACTTTATTTTTTTTTTCAAAAAAAAAAACATAAAACCTATAAATTTTAGAAAGAAGGTTTAAAAATAATACTCAAGCATTCTTCATGATTTCTCAATATATATTTTTTTTGTCATGAAGCTTATTTACATGTATACATTTGATACATGTATAAGTTACAAACATTTTCGAGTAGAATAGGAACTATTAATACATTTTTGTCATATGACTTGTACATTAACACTATTTGCTCAATCTACTGGTGCATAAATAATAAAGATAACCAAAACTAAAAGGTAAATTTTGACAGCTTTGTACTCATATGTCATATTTGGGGTGTTCTATCAGTGTCATTGTGTGATATTGTGCTCATCAGTTAAAAGTCTCATACATGAACATACATGTAGTTGACTGATAATTCAACACTGGAAAGCAAGGGAACCTTGTTACATTTTCAAATTTTTTTTGTGAAAAAAGCAATTCTAAAAACTGTTATGGAATGGTTTGGGGATTCATGTTTTCTTATTTCAATAGTATTGGGTTTTTTTCTCCCGTAAAGGTTCCTTTGTAATACATGTATATTAGTGTTCATGCTTTAACAAAGAACCACCACTATAGAAAAAGATTTTTTTTTTCAATGTCTCAGATGAATATGGCACAGTCACACAAGGAATGAATTTGTATACAGTAAAGAAGTTATTTTAGATAAACATGTATCACTTATTTTTCCTCACCTTACCTTAAAACCATACAAGACCCCAAAGACAATTTAAGAAAATTAAATGAATTGGAAATTAGAAATCAAATTATAGTACTGTTGATTGTTGCTGTTTATAATTTATTGTCATAGTTTAGAGCTGTTTAGAACAGATTGTCAATTGGTCCTGGTATTACAATTTTGAAATTACAATGAACATGTACAGGGTTTCAGAATCTCAGTCTTGGTTTACTGATATGCCTATAATGTTATTTATAAAGTAAGTTAAATAATTATAATGATTACATGGTTAAAATGGATTCAACTAGGATATCCTTTTGTCAGTATCCTATGACATTATAAGATGTTGAAAATACATGTCCCAAGATAATGAAATTTCCATCTAGTTTAATTTAAATTTAGATGAATCTCAATCATGTCGTCAGTATTTGTAATAATTAGTCTCTAAAATGATTATTTGCTGTGTATATCTTGTAATTTCATGAAGGAAAGTGTTTTACAAAAGTCACAAGATGTATTGAGATTTGTCGTCGATCATGTTTCACTTGCTTTTAGATTTTAGTGTTTTTAGCTCTAAAGAGTAAAAATTGTGGTTTATGTGTTACATGTAATGGCGAGAGAGAGAAGAGAGAGAGGTTATATTGAATAACAAGAATTGATCTGTTCTGACAGTAATTGTACAAGTGGAATGGACCTATGTTTCATTACATGATTTATTTATATATTTGTATGTGAAATATGCTCTGTTTGATATGATATTCAAATCTCAAGATATCATTCAATATTATTTCAACTATGTTACTGTTTTGAACAAGGTAGTAATTATTTGTACTTTTTTGTGGTACGAATATACAGCATTATCTTCTAATATTGTTGTTATCATTATAAAAAAAAAATTACCATCATGTTAAAATAAGTTTTGTTAAGGGTACAGTGTTTAACTACATCTAAGTAATTCTAACAGGAAAATAAAGCAGTATTTCTTTGTAGTTGCATTTATGTGCTTGAGTGCTTAAAAGTTGGTCCATGAAAATAACAGAGATAGGGGCAGGAAAACCAATATTTTATTTAAAAATTTACGTTATGTCACTTTTAGTGTGTGGGAGCTTGAGGTGTGCTTTAACCCCCCCCCCCCCCTTTCTGCCAACATTTTATTTTGGGTAAAGTTTTTTTTTTTTTAAATCTGTACCTCTTTAATTAAACCATACTGGAATGTAGCTCCACTGGTTTGTACTTACATGTATAACAAATGAGGAATGAAATTTACTTTAGGATTTGAAACTATGGCAACACCAGTAAACAGTAATTATTTATTCATGATAGCTTATGAAGCCAGTCTTTGATATCTAAAAATATCTAAAACCTTTAAACATGATGGATTTTGGTGTAGCCTTATTGTGTAGCATGTTCTATTGATATCAGAACAAAATTGCAAGAAATAAGATTTTGAACTTTTTAAAGAGAAATATTAGAAAATGCTTCATACAGTCATTTAAGAAAAAAAGAACTAAACCTCTTTTTTATGAAAATAAAAACGCCCGGCCCTAACTGGAAATCCTGGATTCACCCGGGTTTAAATATTTTAAATTAGGTTATGAGGTGTCTTCATTCGCCCCAATGATGAAATTTGAACGTTCATGTATAAAATGACTATATACTGTATTTAGTTTGTATTGGCATCAAGGCTAAGAAAGATCTATTGACAATGGCTTTAAGTGTTATCTTAGGCGTCGAAAGCAAATTGAAAAAAAAGGGCGGGGGGGGGGTAAACTTCCAAAAAGGGTAAGCCGCAATTTTCAATGCAATGTATTATGTATATCTTTGTTTTAAAAAAGGAGGGGGGTATAACCCCCCAACCCCCAGGTTCCGATGCCTAAAGTAAATATGTAAATGCTATTTCCAATTGTTAAGAGTTAATATTCAATATATCAAATTAATCTAGATGTGAGTTGCAGAATGTGCAATCCAAAGAAGTTAGAAAAGGAAAATATTGCGTTAACAATTATTTCAAAAAGAATACAGAGAGCTGCTCATATTGCAGTAGAGGCAGCTGTTAATGGCGCCAAATAATTGACAATTTGATCCCCTTCTCCTGGCTATTAATACAGTCTGTTTTATTTCTAGGGTTTACTGCAGGAAACTACACGGAAATTGACAGATATGCTAGAAAGCTCAAAGGAGGGAATATGAGAAGTCATTTTATTGTTGAAATAAAAGTCATAAATCGTGTCCATAAGATTGAATTTCATTTCCCAGCTCCCCAGAATTAGCTGCAGAAATTGGATTTTAATTTCACTGAAAATGTCGGTGTCACGTGGTTGGTGAACTGAAATGTTCTCCCCTTCGAATAAATTTTCATAGTAAATACTTGTCAGTAAGTACATGTAGGTCTGTGACGGTACATACTGTCGTTTTATGTGTACCTACTCACACTGCAGATATTGTCGTCATATCAGTGACGTGAATTAGCATTGTTTTTGAAGTGGGGATGGGGAGCCAGTGAAAAAATTCAGAGTCAACTTACCTGGAAAAAAATTATCAAACAAAAGAAAATTGTCCATACTCGATAATCCTATTTCGTTGTGTGTGTGTGTGTGGGGGGGGGGGGGGGCTTTACTGCAACAGGACTTTGAATGAACATTTTCAAAAGTAAAAAGTTGTGTCTGGGAAAAAAATGGGGTCCCTCTCCCCCGATGCTACGTGTCTGCATGGCTTTGCCGCTGTAACATCAAAACTGGACATAATTGGTACCCATGGGAATTCCGACATATTTCTGGAAGACCTGGCCTGGGTGCCATAAAACTTAGACAAGCCCTTCGTTTGATCTCATTCTCACTTTTATCAAAGAAATATATAGTGGAAAAGTGAAACTGAGATCAAAAGTGAGCTCATCTAAGTTTTATGGCCCCAGGCCTGGTCTCGAAAAGCTCAAAGCTGCATATATATAGATATTGTCTATCAGAAACTCAAGCATCTTTTACATTTCTACTTCAAATTATTTGTATGTACAATTACATGTTCTGTTCTTACGGTGAAATAGGAAGGACCATTTAACGTTTTTCCCATCATTTTTACGGGAACCGTGTCTTTATATCTCCATTAACTGAGACATATATCCTTAGTTTTTACCCCCGATTACTAAGATTCTTTGTTATTCAATTCCTTAACTGTCACCATATAGATATAAAGAGGGGATCCAATTTCTGTGAAGAATTTCGCGGGCTTTGAACACTGTCAAACGGGTATTTGAGTTCTTCATTAAACACAGTTGAAGTACAGATCTTGTTTCGTTTCAAACAATCCGGAAATTTCGATAAAAGAAAATTTAACAACATTAGACGCGCTTGAGAATCTGCTCTTTAGAATGATTAAGCATTAATTTTCTTCTTGACGAACGATTTTTAATATTCAACAAATATTTATGGTGACTGAATAAAGATGATATTCCAGCAAAAATAACCTTCATTTATAATTTCTACATCGAAAAAGTATATTTATTCAAAATAAGTTACATAATTTCCTCTGTAAAAGTTCTTACACATATGATAAAAAAACTAATGGTAATAAAAAAGAGAACAAAGAATAAATATGTTTACTGACGATATAAGGGGTAATTTTGTGAACGATTGCTAGAATTTGTAGTCCTACTGGCCAGAGACCAGAAGAGCTTATACAATATACAGTAGTAAGGTGGCCGTCCGTCTGTCTAGCTGTCCCTCTGTTTCTCCGTCTGCCTGTCTACCTGTCTGTAATCATTTTTTCCCCAAAATACTACCCCTCCAACAGTTTTGGTCTGATTTCAATCTAACTTGGCACACAAGTAGACTACACTTAAATACACATGATGTAGATCTAGTGCATCGGAATTTGATTATAAATTATTATGTTGTTGCCATGATTACTCAAAATGAAGTTTCTTTAAAATTCCTTTAAAACGCTACCCCTCCTACAGTTTTGCTCTGATTTCAATATAACTTGGCACATAAGTAGACTACACTAAGATACATAATTCTGTGCATCGGTTTTTGATTTCGATGAATGGTGTTGCCATGGTTACTAAAAATAGAAATTTCTTTGAAATTCTTTCAAAATGCTACTCCTCCTACAGTTTTGCTCTGATTTCAATATAACTTGGCACATAAGTAGACAACACTAAGATAAAGAATTTAGTGCATCGGGTTTTAATGAAAGGTGTTTTTTTTTATTTGAATGAACCGTGTTGTCATGGTTATTCAAAATAGAAATTTCGTACATATTCCTTTTAAATGCTACTTCTCCTACAGTTTTGGCCTGATTTCAGTATAACTTGACACAGAAGTAGACTACACTTAGATACATAAATAAGTATATTGGTTTTTGATTTCGATGAACGGTGTTGCCATGCTTACTAAAAATTGGAAATTTCTTAGAAATTTCTTTTAAATGCTACTCCTCCTACACTTTTGGTTTGATTTCAATATATCTTTGCACACAAGTAGACAACACTAAGGCATATAATTTGTTGCATAGGTTTTTGATATCAATGACCAGTGTTTCCATGGTTACTAAAAATAGAAATTTTTCTTTAAAACAATAAAACGACATTTCTCCTATACTGTTTTTGGTCTGATTTTCATGTAAGTTCGCACAAAAGTAGACTACATTAAGATACTATATTAGTGCATTGGTTTTTGAAACGATTAACAGTGTTACCATGGTTACTGAAAGTATTTCTAATACTTTTAAACCACTCCTGCTCCTACATGCAGTTTTAGTTTTATTTCAGTATAAAATGGCACATGAGTATAGACTAAACAAAGGTACATAATTCTATTTATTGCTGCCTGTTGCAAAGTTTCGAACCCAAGTGCTACTTTTCTTTTGTTAAACGTACAGACCAGTAGAGCTACAGTCTCATCAGAGACTTCTGGTTATACCCTTGTCTCAGCTAACAGTTAAAGAGCAGACAATCTTTTGCTGTTGAGTCTTAAGTCAATATAAATTGGGATGCTTTCTCCCATTAAAAAGTGAATGCTTTTAAATCTAAATACTTGAATATATTAATATACCTCTTATAATTATGCACAACTCTAATTAATTACATTACATATATTTTTTTTTCATTACTGAGTTCATAGTTGTGCCTAAAGGTATTCATTTTACTTCAATAAAGACAGATTTGTTATTTATTCTCTTTCAAAGTCGACTTCGTTGTCAAGAAAGATAATTCTGTAAATTGAATGGCATGACGGCTGCAGTGCAATCCATATCAAGCGGTCATGAGTTCGATTCCAGATTGAGCAATGGTTTCTTTTTTTAGTAGTTCATGATGATCTTGCTCTTTACGCTGTAGGTCTTATGATATACACTTTTGTCTGATTCTAAGTAATTTCTGTAATGCCTGAAAGAAATTTATCATAGTTAGCCTACAAGAAAATTTCATTGAGTGCACGTGTGGAGTGAATTTCTCCAAATTGAAATTACATGTAATCAATTAATATTTATGTTTCCTTCAAAATTATGTTAATTTACTCAGAGTAATAATTTGAAAAAAAAAAGTTAAATGGATATAATCATATTTGTACTTGAAACAGGCCAGATGATACACACAAATTTTACCGAGGTTTCAAATTACATATCGATGAACAAAAGTCCTGTAATTCGATCCCTAAGTTTATTCACCCAGTACTCATATACAAAGAGAATAATATTTAGAATTGAGACATCTGTCGGGACATTTAATACTCGGACAACAGGAAATATTCCAATAAAAACAAATGATAAACTACGTGGTTATTTGTTAATTATTGTTCAAAAAAATGAAATACACATAAAACGTCGGGATCAAGTTACAAAAGCTAGTAGAATTTGGACGACACCCCTTGTCAATCAGATAAGACGGGGTATTTCACGCGATAAAAAGTGCATTCAAAAGACAAAGAGGGTTTTGTATTGAAAACGAAAAGATGTATAAGGAAGATGACATTTAATATTTTCTAAATAAAGAAAA